TCCTAAGGAGGCACTTGTGCCCTATGTGCCTCCTTTGCACATAGACCTTGTTTGGCTATGTATGTTACTCTTCTTCAACCTCTAATTGGGCCAATCAAACCTAACTAGAACAAACTCAACCCGTTTGATTCTCATACTGTTACTTGTCTAAATTATGGTGGTTTAAGCAATTTTACCAATTAAAACTATTCAAAACTCAATTAAATCATTGTTTTATGAAACCATACTTCAAACTCCATTAAAACAAAGTAAATCGAGATTAATCTATGAATTACTTTGAGTTTCATACATATGAAAAAACTTAATTTGAACTTCTCATTAAAGCTTGATTTTATGCTTCAAATTCCTTTTATTTTGGCTTTTATTACCATAAAATAGATGCCAAACATATTTTACTATATTCCTTTATGTTTATTCAAATTAAAACGCATCAATTTGGGAAATTTTAGACAAATTCAAGCCCAACTCAAAGACCTGCACCTGTGGGTATAAGTCCAAACATTGGCAACACTTGATTTGAAGAAATCGATGGGTTTAATTAAGCTTTATGACCTTAACAACAATCTTAATTCATCAAGAAATAGTAACCTAAAGGTAATTTTACAAAAACTACATAAAATTAAGTTGTTCTTGGCTTAAAATTGTTAAAACTGGTGACCCTTGGAAAAACCAAATTCCTCATTCACGATTTCAATCAATTAAACTAATTTAATTTAACAAATTCATCATATTATCGATAATTAATCATCAATCAAACATGCAGAATTTAATTGCACTATATGTAAGAGAATTATGAATTTTAATGGTGTAATTACACAAATTCAAGAAACTACACAAGACTTAACATGTAATCATGATTTATGTAATCAATATATAATTTTTTAAGGTTCTAAATCCTAACCGTGGTAACACTTGTACCAATTGTTAAACTTTATATGTAATTAATTTATGTTGAATCTAACATTCACCACAATAAGATTTTAGAACACAAAAACTGTACCTAATTTTTTGTCCATGATTTGATAGCGAAAATGATACTAGCTAAATTAACTATTAGGATTCAACACACTAATGATATGTTTGGTTCACATAATAGAATAAAAGGAAATAGAATGACTATTATCTTGAAAAAAAAAGGGTGAAAATAGCTATTATATAATTTGGTTCACAAAATAGAATAGGATAAAAATTGTTATTGTGACTTATTCCAATATGTGGTTAGTAAAAATAACTTTAGAATAACAAAAGAATAGATGATAAAAAGACAAAAATATCTTTTTTTATAATATTGAATTTATAATTTAAAATATTTATTATTTTAATAATTTATTTAAAATAGTAATAAATTGTTATTTAAAATTTTAATATGATTATTTTTTTCATTTTTAGACTATTAATAATTTATATTTTATTTAAATATTAATAATTTATAATTAAATATTAATAATTTATAATTAAATATTAATATCATTATTTTTATGTTATTCTTTAATTGTAAAATATTAAAAATTTTAATTTTAATTTTTAAATTTCAAATATTAATTTTTTATAATTTACATGAGAATTTAGTTTAACTTTTTAATTTTAAAATAATTAAGTTTTTTTATAAATTTATAATTAAAACTTAAACTTTTTTATTTTAAATTCATTTTAATTTTTTTTTCTTTTTTATTTTTTTTCTTCTCGTCAATTGACCACATATGTGCTATGTGTTGGAATCAAGCTAGCCAAATCCGGTTGTAGGAATCTAGTGAAGGAGCATTGGATCCGGTGCTCTTGTGGCCAGATGCAATTAAGGACGCCAAGTCTAGCTTTTTTGCAAACGATTTGGTCGAGAAATGCCAAATCAGTGTTGCGTAGAACCAAATCCAACTACGAAGGTACCAATACCACCTGCCACCAGTGCCTACAACTGTCGTTGTTGCCACCCTCTACTATCCTCCATGGTAAAGAAAATTTAGTAAGAGAAAGAGAAAGGGAGATGTGTAGAGAGAATGAAATTGTAAAACATGAATAAATTATTTTTATATAGTATGATAATTTTTAAAATGGTATAATGCTCAAAAAAGCCCTAAACCATTCAAAAAAAAATCAAATAAACTCTTATTCTTTTATTACATTCAATCAAACCCTTATATTTTTTGGATCAAATAAACCTTTATGACAAATAATTGACTAATTGCTATTAGTTAGTCAAAATATCATTTATCATTTTATATTCACATGGTATTGACATGACATTAAATGTGGAGGGTGAAAAATATCAAATGATCATATTATCATACAAAATTAGTATATTATATCATCATCAATCTTGATTTGTTAGCTTGACACATTATCATTAATTATGATATGTTAGCATGCCACGTTATTAGCACGTAACATAAAATGACAAATGATATTTTAATTAAATCAATCATTAGTTATAAGAATTTATTTGGTTCAAAATAAAAGTAAAAAAGCTTGATTAAACACAATAAAAATATAAGAATTTATTTAAATTTTTTTAAATAGTTTAGGGGTTTTTTTAGATATTATGCCTTTTAAAATTGATTAAGGGCATTTTTTCCCATTAACAGTTTTAACTTGCTCCTTGTGTCTAAGAATAGCCATTACCAAAGGGCGGGGGACTGTTATGGCTACTCCCGTCCTACTTGAATGGCTAGTCTTTAGCTTTAAAGAAGGATTAGTAATAAGGGGAATGGCTATTCCATTCCCTCCAACAAAACATGCTTTGAGATCTTCCTCCACCTTAATCAACAACTCTCTGGTGGGTGAGATTCTTAATATTTTGTACAGACAAGAAAAGAGACAGTTTTATCTTTATATAATGAATATCTAGTCTCATCTATCATAAGATTTAAGGTTATTTACACAAACCTATACTATTAATTAAATTGACATATAAATTGAAACCTCCCACTTTATTAGATTATATTATAGATTGTAATATTATCTTTTTATCATAATCAAATTAATTAAGCTTGGTTTTAATGAAAAATAAATAAATTAAATAATACAGTCAAGACATTAATTATTGCTCATAAAAAAACACATTACTTATTCAGAAAAATTCAAACAGCTATTTCTTGGTTGATTGGATTCAATGACTATGAAAGCTTAAGGTGTGACATATCAATTTTCTTTCAGGCTCTTCCTCTGGTTTTTTAGTTTACCAACACGAACTTGGCAAGACCATATCAAAGAATTATTATTATTATTATTTTTAGAAATTTGTTAAAGGGTATTAGAATAATTGAGGAAGTGGGGTATACGTTTACTTAAGTCAATGGCTTTTAATAAAATACAATAAACAGAAGCAGCCTAACGTGTTAGGTGATGGTATGGGGGCCATGGTTGACCTGAGGGCTTTGTCTTCCTTCAACGAACGCATGCGCTCTCTCTCTACTGGAACCAAAATTACTTTTTTCGGATTACTTGTTACAATAATATCCTAATCAATGGACTCTGGAGTTATTAAATTCTTAAATGAAATTAAAATGTTGTCATATGTTTACTTAGCTTAAGATATTAATTTATTAATACATTTAAATATAACTTAATATATGTAACAAGTTTTTAATTCCATTTGTAGATTTTACACCTTGAATTACAATTGATCCTACCAACCTTTCACATTAAGTACACATTAAGCACGCATTTAAATTTTTTTTCTTTTTCAAATTTTAATTGTTGCGTTGAGCATTTAGAGGCAAAAATTAAAGTTTTATGACATGTTAATAACACTAATAAGATGATGTTTGGTATGAGATAATCTCTTAACATTTAACAAAATTTATTTGCTGTAATTATATTATTATGTGTCGTAACTATTCGAGAATATAATATAAGAAATAATTTAAAAAGTGATTATAGCATTGTTTTGAGATATGATTTAAATTCTATTTAAAAGCACGGCAAAGTTTTAATATCGAAGTGGAATAATGTTGAAAATTGTTTGACACTTAAACAGTTGAGTTTAAGAGATTATCGAAGTGGAATAACATTTGAGAAAATTGTTTGACACTTAAATAATATCGAAGTGGAATAATGTTGAAAATTTTTTTAAAATTTAATTATAAATATTATGTATACCCATAAAATAAAAGAAATTTAAAAACTTTATAATTATTAATAAAATTAAGAAATACATAGCATAAATTGACAAGATGATTGCATTTTAATTTAAATTCTTAATATGTATAAATATTTTCTGAAATAAGATGTATATTCCATAATAATTTTCAAATATTTGATATTTTCAATTTATATTACGTTTAGAATTAAAAGTTAAGATACTCACTTTCAAAGAGTTTCAGACTCTAGGTTTCGGTTATTAAAAGAGACACTGAATAAGAGAAAAAAAATGGCTAAGAGAAAATCTTTTGTCTTTAGTCAATTAATTATATTTTATTTTATTTTCCTCAAATATGAAGTTCTAGAAAGCTGCTACAAGCCTAAAGCCACACAAAGAAAAGTTTGACTTTTTGAGCTATTACCAAAGAAAGAACAGTGTGCTGATGGATGCACATGTGCTGCGTCGTCGGTCGATACACTTTCAATAATGAATTAAATATAATGAATTTATCTATAAATATAACTTTGTAATAATATTATATTATATTATATGGTACACTATTTTTGTAAGATAAAGACAACTATGCTTAACAATGAAAGCACTTGGAAAATTTACGAGACAATCAAAAATTTGTGAAAAGTGAGATCTGACTTGTGTTATTAAAGTCAGGTGTAGTATGTATTTGCGGCTGCAATAACATTCCCCAGTGGACATTCATTGCCTTTGGCGATTGCAATCGAAAATCCTAACTGTTTGCCTGGAGCTATGATAATGAACGATGTCTGGAATGATTAAATCGTTAAAATTTACAAAAAAAAAAAAAAAAACAAACAGCTCAAGTGGGATCATCACTTGATAAGAATTGCAAATGCCACAAGTTTATCGAAAATGGAACCCACCGTTGAGGTTTCGGCGATGCTGGTTCAAAATCCGGCGACAGATATGCATGCTTATGCATTAAAAATGAATTTATACTTTCATGATCCACCTGAAAATTTCATGAACAACTTCGCTTAACCCCACATAGGGTTGACTAGCATCTGGTGTGGGATAATGAAATTTGGTCAACATCACAAAGAAAGTGACCAAATTAGTTTATCTTAGAGTTTGCTAATACAACTGAGATTCACTACTTTGTTCAGCAGCCACAAATGAAATTAACTCGTGATTCTATCATCACATTTAGCGATACCTATTTTGTCAGTATCTCTTTGTGAGCTTTGAATGAGAGAATCACATTCCAAACCAAAGCAATGAAATTTGCAGCAAGGACCTGAAAATGGAACAATGATGGATTTTAGCAATAGGATAAGAGAAAAACAAATCAAGAAGCCGAAAGAGAGATGATAGTTAGGGATTAGACATACGTCCAGTGTTTAATTCTTACTAAAAAGCAAAGCTAGCAAATAGCTTAAGCCCCAAATGACCATACACAGGCATGGAAACTTCTTTCAGCGTATTATAAGTATACACATCCAAAAGAACCAAATGCATCGAGGGTTCTAGCTTGCTAATAGATTTTCTAAATATAGATAACTATAATTAAAAACAAACTCTATCTATCGTCATGTAAATGATCATTTTAATCTTAATAATCTCAGACCATTGCCCTGCGCTAAAGCTCAGTGGAAGATAATAAACAGGCATCTTTCAATCAATGGGCTTGACATTTGGGTTTGAAATTTACCTTTGTGGGACATCAAGATTGACAAGAATATAATTGTTTTGGGACAAAGTAAGAATAGAAAGAACATCAAACCAAAGTAAAGTAAGAGAATAAGAAAGAACACATTCATAGTAATTAACCAAGCAAGCTTCTTCAAAGCTTCTGCATCAAAACCACTAACATGACTCGTATCCAATGGCTAGATATAATGATTGGCACCTTAATGTTTTTTCTAATTACTTCATCTCAAATTCCATCAGCCCATTTAACATGATTTACAATTGAGTCATTCCAAGTTAACCCTCTCAACAAGGAATGACCCTAATTAACAATCATATTCATAGTGCCTGACATTGTTTTTAGCATGATTCATTCCTCACCTCCTTTAACCAATCAAGAAAAATACCAGTTTAACTCAATTTATATCTAAGAATTATTTGAAATTAACAAACTATTTGAAAACTTTACTCTCATTAAGAAGAATTAAATTCTGCCAAAATATATACAATATAAAGCAACTTAGTAGTAGGTTGATTTTATGTTAATAAACATTTTAACAGATTAATCATGTTAATTTTGAGTTAGACATGTCAAGCCACACAATCTTTGTTAAAGTGGTCATGCACATTACGTTACCAATTCAATAACCCAGTCAAGTTTACGTTAGACAGTTCTGATTCAATGGCCCACCAACAGGTAAGCTTGGTAGGAAGCCTTTTCTTCCTCACTTCGCAAATTCCAAATCATCCAGTCAGCGTTAAAAATGATAAATTATAATAGGATGAAAGTTTAATAAAATGAATATAGCTCCACCTGAAATTGCTGTGGGACAAATCGAAAGTTGAGAAATTGGAAAGGTATCCACAACTGCCAATTCGCAAGAACAGCAGAAAACCACTCCTACAAGGTGAAACTTTTCTGTTAGAGAGAGAAAGTGAGAGAGCAAAACTGGGGAAAGCCATCAAAAACCAACTTCAAGGAATGCATAAATATTTAAGGTAAGACATGTGGCCATGTATTAATACCACCTGTTGAAGTTTGGGTACAACTTGCGAAGGCCTTCCTTCTAGTGTCACCAATGTAGATAAGAAAACTCCAATAAAAATAGGAGAAAAGAGAAACTGCAATATATTGCACAAGAGTTAGAGAAATATTTGAATGTTTTGCAGATGTAGTAAGAGAGACAGCTCACCTGATCTAGTAAAAGCCGCAGGAAAGCACCTGATGCTCCAGGCAATTTAACCAAGTTACTTAGACATAAATACCTGCGAAGAACCAAGTATCATGTATTGAAAAGAAAGAAATCTGACAAGCAGAAACAAGTCATTTTTAATTACAATAATCATGGTGCATATGATGCCCCAAAATGAAATCCTCATGATACAAGTCATCGATCTTATTAAACCTCTTCAGCAGTAACTTTGATAGAAAATGGGAAGATTTGTTAAGCATGCATAAAAGGATCGCATTGTAAAAGTAAACAAACAATACAATAAGAAACTACAAACTAAATTACTAAAACAATAAAGCACTAGAGATAACTAATAAAATAGGTAGACATGAGAACAAAGTCTCTATAATCATATAGACAAATTACAAACACATAAAGCATTAATTGTGAAGCATTACCAGAAATGCAATGTAGGGCCCACTAACACCAATCCCAATAGTGTAAACAGAAATGTCCTTTTCACGTCTAGTGACGGCACATGATCAATTGCAAGCTGAAGCCAAAATATTTACTGTTAAATCAAGTCATGCCTAATATTGTATTAATAATACAGTAATTTATGAATTAAACTGACATTTATATCTAAAAACTAGCCAACTCCATTTACATTAGTAATGAAAGATACATTAAAGAATGATTTAAACTGAGATTTGATTCCCAAGAAAAGCCGACAACACTTTCCAATTGATGTTCCATGAAAGCTCCCAACTCAGCTTCCCATCATTGGACATCCAAATTGAGGCTTGGGAATCAACCTTAGAATGCCTCCAAAACACCTTTGGAGGCTGCTTCCAGCATAGCCCGCCACCCTTATTTCCATACTCTCCACCTTTAAAGCACAGTATACTTCTCTCTTACCGTGAATCATCCTGTGAGATTGCCACTAAGACAACAACACTGCTCAGGCACTCTCATCTTTCTTTCTTCCTTTCTGTTTTATCTTCTCTTTTCTTGTTCCATCTCAGAGATTTCTCACTTTTCTCTCTAAAATCTTCCCAAGATACTTGCCTTTCTCTCTCCTCAACCACAAGTTATTGTCAAGCCATGCTGACATGTTTGTAGGTTTTTTACCATGTCAAACACAGATCCCAAATCATGTTCAAGATTGTGTCGTGAGAACATGCAGGACGTCATGTTTAACGAGTCCGAGCAACTTAGCATAAAGGCTCGCTGATTGCTTGGCAATAAGGAGTTGAAGCATAAAATAAAAATGTAAAGGCCAAATATGCAGTATCAATGGATGAAAGATTTAAGAAGACAAAGCCAGACCTTAACCAGCCAGCTAGAATGCTTAAGGTCACAGAATACACCCCCAGCTCAACAGCAATGAATATGCTAGTTACAAGCCAATAGAGGTGCCGTTAAAGTCGAAAATGAAGCAAAATAGGAGACAAATTCTTTTAAGTGGCAGCAACAAAGGATTATTCAAGGGTTGCTGAAATAAGGAAAGGAGATAGAGAGCCCAGCCCCTTTGTTCCTAGTGCAAATCAAGAAGAATTGATATTGCCAACATTAGTTGTCCCAACAAATGACTTAATCATTCCAGAGGAATTCAGTAATTCAACAATATATAATGTCATCCTTGCTGCCATCTATAGAGACGAGCCAGCACTCTCAATTGCTTCAAAGCTGAGAATAAAGGGTTAGCTCAAGGAGTATTACTACTACTTCATTTCCAAACTAGAGGTTAAGTTTTTCCCGACAAGGAGAGTACAATGCTACCAACAAAAGGTCAAGAAAAGTCAGGATAATGTTCCATGAAAATCTGGAATAATCCCCTATGTTTGACAGCAGACTAATTTAGGACCTTATTTGAGCTGGTATAGACATTAGTCTCATGTTTGTCTGCTTCTTTATAAAATCTGGAATGTTGTTTTCTTTTTCCATTCAAATGTTAAGGGTATTCTGTTGAATTTCAAAGTATGCAAGAAATTACAAATTTTGACTTCATCTACTCATTAAAATTTCTTACTTTACCATGGTCTACTTTTTTTTTTTATTATCATGCTCTTTACTTTTACTTCAGCAGTTGTTTTTGTGTAGATCCCTTTATGGACTCTTATTTTGAAGATAAGTAGAACTTGTTATATAAGCATGCAACTTCTTTCACTAGGTGGGTCTTTGGCCTGCTTTTAAATTGGCTTCTCTGCTTAAAAAGCTAAAGCAAGGCATTTGCCACAATTAAAATAACTTATCTCAGAAGCTCAAAACTACTTTTAGATCCTTGAAATTTGATGCCGCTATTTATAGCTTCTTAGAAAGAGGTAATAAAACTTTTTTCTTCCTGCTTTACCCTTCAAAATTTCCTAATATTACAAAGCATCAAACCAAATAAATCTTCGTCCAGTCAGTTCTTTTATAGTCTTTATTTTTCCTAATTATCAAACAAAATAACGTGGCTTGAGATATTCAATCACTAGGAAGATAAGTATATGAGCAATTTTTTTTTACTTGATTTATTTTGGCTGTCAAAAATTAGATTAATTAGTTTTATTTTATATTCATATTTGAATCATTATTCTTTTGTTTTATGTTTTCTTTTTAATTTTTCAGAAAGACAGTATAATATTCCAAACAAAAAAAGGCCTATCAACCTTCCTAACTATAAAATGTGCTTCATCATTTTAATTATAAATGTACTTTCTTTAAACTTTCTTTCTAGTAATTTTAGTACTTAGCATTTTCACAGAATCATTATTGAATAGCTTTCTACATCCTATTGCATCAAGCTTACGAAATGCTGTTTCAGCTTTCCTTTATAGAACTTCTCGAACAGCTCTACTCCAACAACACTTTTGCTAAAAGCTTCAGACAGACCAAACAGGCCCTTGACAGAGAAAAAGTTCATGAGAATTTTGGATGCTATTATGATGTAGTTTCTCATTCTATAAAACAACCCTAACCCTAAGTGTAAAGCATAGATATCTTTCATCTTTTGCTTTCATTTCCAGCTTCAATTCTTATCAAATTGTTTAAATTTTCATTCATTATGCCTAACGAAAAGCACATGAATGCAACCATCAAATGTCAACCATAAACCATCTCACATTCCCTAAAAGGCAAGAAATTTTGCCTAATTTTATTCAACCTCCGTAATACATCATATTATCTCCTCTTAACATTGCTTGTGAATAATTTATTTATCACATAAATACATCACTTAGCATAAAAAAACAGCAAAGCAATCATTTTGTTGCATTTAGTCAAAAACGACAATGAAATCAAGTGAAACTAGGAAACGAGATGGAAAACCAGGAGGAAAATTGTACACACTGCATATTCATTGTAGGTGGCACGTAGAAATTTTACCTGGCAAATTAAATCTCCTATAAAAGTCAAAAGTGCAGATGTCACAGCTTTTGTGAACACGGGATATTTTGCTAGAAGAGCTAAATACCTGTAAAATAACTTAAGCAAATCAAATACTTGGGGGTAAAGTCCATCACCTAACTAAAAGATAACAAATAAATATTTTGGCAACCTCAAGTAGGACTTTAGCATAAAAGTCTTGCAAAAGGATTTTTTCATTTTCATACTTGAGATGTCCTCCAATAGGGTTCCATAACAACAGAACAAACACACTGCTCAACTAGCATCACATAGGAAGTTAATGTTTTAAGAAACTTAAGTAACTGCTGCATATAAAACAAAGAGATTATTATCAAAAAAGTTTCCACTATTTTTGCCCTCATAAATGTGTGAAGCAATCAGCTCAAGCATCCCAATGAACTTTAGGTATGAAGCTTAAAAATTTTTTTTGCTCTTGTTTATTCAATTTTATGCAATATTTTGCAGAACTCACATCTGATAGAGAATGTAAAATTTAATCACAAAGTGTCCTAAATCATATACATACGACACTAAAGCCTTGTGTGCGTGTTTGTGTGTGTGCCTATATATATATATATATATATATATATACTTTAATTGTTTGTGCAATTTAAGATCTTGGCAAATTTCTTGAACCTTCTTTTTGTGTAAAACTAATTAGTTCACCATATGTTAGTTTTTCGTAGGAATAATTCCCTTAAAGTTTTCTCTAATTTGGTTTCTTACCTTTTCTCCTAATAATGTAGAAAGACCAGCTAAGAATTTGTTTGGCCTAGACTTCTACCAATAGATATTTTAACAAAATCATCATGATATTGGTTTATTTTCTCTAATTCTGTATTTCTTCTAGGGGATGGATTTACTGCTTTAGTTCAATACCCTTTCTCTAGGAAGGTTGACTGCATGCCATTTAATGGCTTTTGAAATGACTACATTTCACCTAGTCATGTAAGTTTGGAAGAATTCATTTGTGTTCATGTTAGGGTTATTTGTCATGGACAAGTATGTTGTTGACATCAGTATATATATATAACCCAATGATGGCTTTCAACAATGATAATTGGCACTATCATCTACCCATATTTTTTTTTTTGTATATTTATCCAACCAATTTTTGATAGCCCGTCGGTAGCCTAGGTATCATCCTAGAGGAGCCAATGACCCATTTGGTTGTCACTTAGAAACAGCAAAATCTTTACAGACTGAAACGAGCACTTGCTCAAAACCCGACACAAGCTAAGCCAGATTGACGTAGTCAATAATTGAAACATGACGTGCACCAATTGTATTTGTCAAACGTTGTAGAGCTAGTATTTAAAAATAAAGATCAGGGTCATTGAGGAATTTGTAGAATTCTTTTATTATGAGTGAGCATTTCCTCTCTTTCTTCTTTTCTCTCTATTCTAAAATGTCTCTGAATACATGCACAGCATAGGAACAGCACCAATAACCTGCTTTATTCTAGTTGTGCAGGTGAGGTTGCCCACATTCATCATTATAATCAAGGTATCCAAGACGTACATTGTGAGTTTAAGCCACAGAAAATTTCAAATCAAGCAACCTAATAACAAGCATTTCTATGAACATTCACCAAAAGAATAATATAACCAAAACCCCGCACCATTGGTATCAGTAAAATTCTGATTCTATCAAATTTGAAAACAGCAGAAAAAAAACGTAAAGAGCAAAATGACACTATTATAAATTAAAAAGGCCGTAGTTCAATACCATGAAAGCAAGGACCAATCATTTCTTCCACCATTTTCGTCGGCGCCTTCACCTTTGCCACCAGAATTCTCACCACCGGAGCCTCCGAATCCACCAATCCCACGGGACCCACCATCCGAAACTGCTGAAACCCGGAAACAATCAAAACCCAACTGCCCAGCTCCCGTTTTGCGACGACCCAACTCCTTAAACCCATGACTAGAACTCAAAAAATATGAATAGGGGCGGCTGTTAAACCCTCTTACCAGAAATCTAGTTCGGCGTGCAGAAAGGCACAAGTTTTTGGAAGAAAAACTCATAATACTGTACAAGCGAGGGAATGTGCGGGTAAGTGCCACAGAATTCGGGACCATGCTGGCAATTCTCAAACGACTTGAAAAACTTAAAAGAGTGGTTTTCTGCTTTATGTCTATGGCTGTGGTAATTGTTACAGTCTTACGGACAGTTGCGGATGGATAGGCTTCGCAAAGTGGAATACACGGGGCATAGCCTCCTCGCTAGTTTTAAGTTCCAAAGTTTAAATTTTCAACTAAACTGGCCAGCCCAGTTATATTTTTGACCGCCAAGAACTTTTAGGTTTACCACGACTTTTTTTTTTCTTTTCAATTTTGATCAAAATCAGACCAGCTGGACAGACTGGTTGAACTAGGAATCGATTGTGTCTGGTTCGATTATGATGTCAAACGTTGAGAAATTGAACTTGTCAAAAATCGATGATCCATCGATTGAATTGATTTGGTGGAGCTTTTAATTGGTTAAATAAGGTTTTTTATAAAAAAATATTTTTATTTTTGAAGATGAAATATTTGAATAATTCCATATGAGTAGAATTGTTGAGAATGAGTTAGTTTCTATAACGTTGTGAATCCTCGAAACTATCGTGTGATGCAGGTGCATAACAGGAATCGTGTAGGAGGGACTTCAATAAGTACATTCGGGGTTTCTGCAGTAATAAAAGTTGCTGGCAACTTGTTTGTAGCCTCTCAATATTGGGACAGTTTAATCTCTCTGCTGAAGATTGTTTTGTCCAGTAGCTATGGACTGCATCTAGTCAAATTGTACCTAGGGGTTATTCATTGTTATTTTTTTTCCTTATAATTTTTATTTCATTGTAAATAAGGCTAAAGCTTATTTTAGCCGCGGCAATTAGCAATAACAAGTTATTCGTTTGGACAACTTTTAGAAGCTAAACAAGTGAGTAACCTATGGTTTGCAACAACTAAAGCTTTGTGGTTTGCTGACCTCTTGATTTCGACACAGGTCCAAAAGTATATTGTTCTTCCTCCCTTAGTTACGGTTCACATTAAAAAAACTCGAAGGGTGATCGTTCAAATTTTTCGTTGCTGGATCAATATGATTGCATGGCTTTTCCTTCATGGTCTTATTAAATATCTAAACATGTATTGAGGCGGTAGTATTTGATTAGAGAGATAATCAAGATAGGTGAAATAAATACTAAATGTGTGCCCATAAATTATAACCCAATGGATCCATGTTGGGGAAAAGGTATTGATAACTTTACTTTATAGAGTTATTTTGTAACTTTAGGGTATTGAAATTGACTAAATCCTTGAGTTTGGATTTGAAATTGTCACTTTCTACTTGTGTCTTTTTAATTTTAATTGTTTTAAGTAGTTTGATTTTAGTTAGATTTTATGTTGATTAATTCATTTTTTTATATTGGTAACTTGGTTTTGTTTGTTCTTAAAGGTGTATGTTCGAAAGGATTTGAAAACGGTGAAGAAAAATGAAGCCAAGCCAAAAATCAACAAGTTAGGCATTGTGGCCACCGAAGAGTGGGCGTTGCGACGCCAAAAAGATGAGGTAGCTGCACATGGGGCAGCAAGCAAGGTGCTCAGTGCCAAAGAAGTTAGGTTGCGGTGCCAAGGCAGTAGAGAGTTGGGTGCTGCGGCACCAAAAAGTGAAGGCCACAATGCCAGTACGTATATATATATATATATATATTTTTTTTCGGATTTGATTGAAGTAAGGTTTTTTGGAGGCTCTTTATAGGCACCTTTGGAGCAATTAAAAAGCAAGTTTGAACTAGGGTTTCTCACAAAGAAAAGTAGCCGTCAAGCATACAAGAAGGCAAGAAAGATTTTGAAAGATTGATGATCCGACAAATCTCTAGTTTTCTTTTATTATTTTTTTCTTAATTTTCTTATCTTGTAATTGATGGTTAAATTTTTTTGGATTATGTTTTCAATATTTAGAATGAACTAAATTTATATTTTTAGGAATGCAATTGAACTCAACATGTAGTTTGGATTTTTAATACTCTCTCTTTCTCATAATTAATGATAATTGAATTATTTATTCCAATCTTGTGTTTCAAAATCTAATTGACTGATCACCAATTAGATTGATTGGGTAGGCTAAATAACTTGGAAAAGGGAATTTAGTATAAGTGTCCGTTAAAATTCTGCTACGCAAGTATACATATCGAATAGACAGTATATTAGCAAGTAGAGTATCGATCTCATAGAGAATTCATCTAAAAGTTTATAACAATTTAGTTTTATTCAAATAATTAAATCTGAATTCTAATTGAACTAAAAATTACGTAACTAAAACTAATTTAATTAAAAATTAAAGCAACAAGATAATTGAGCAAATAGCAAATCAAACAAGCCTAACATTACAATATCCCTCACACTTCATCTAAATCTTACCTCTCTTCCTTAACTTATTTCAATGGGTTAAATTGCTAACCTAGAGTCTTAAATTATTTATAAAGGTCTCCCAACTCATCTTATAAAAATATCTATTTTAACCAAAACACTATATCCTTATGTGAATTGAAATTAAAACAAACTCATTAAGTTCAGGCTCTAATCTGGCTACATATGGCCTATAGGTATATCTCTATCCTATACGCAAATCAATTAATATGATCATATGCTATCCCAATTTTAGTCTACACTAAACTCCCTTTCCCAAGTTTGTTTAGGTTCTTAAATCAATTTAATTGGTGGCCAAGCAATTAAAAGCATTAAGAACAAATTTGAATAAACAATTCTAATCCCATTGAAAATAAACAAGAAAGAGATTAAAAATTTAAATTACATGTGAGTTCAATTGCAATCCTAGAAATATAATTTAGCTCATAATATCTAATAAAGACAACATCCAAAGGAATTTAGCCATGAATTCAATTCAAAGAAAATACAAAAAACACAAAGGTAAGAGAGAAAACTAATAGTTAGAGCTTTGTGATCTTGATTCTCCCTCCAATTCTCTTGTTTTCTTACTTTGTCCTTGGCTTCAAATTTCTAGAATAGTTGCTTGTTGCCTCCTCTTCAAAATCTCTGAAAAAAGTCTCTTAAATAGGCTCCAAATAACCTAATTTTCAAAATCTTGTCAACTTCTTTTATACTTGGAAAGTCGCCCAGCGCTGCGACGCTACTTCTCCAGCGCTGCAGCTAAACTCTCTGGAAATTTTGTATGTCTGCTTCCTTTCATCAATGCTACAGCCTTGTTCTCCCAGTGTTGTGGCAGTCTATCAACTTCAAACGTGAGTTTCAACCTGAGATGTTCCGAACTGGATAAAGTAATAAACATAAAAGTTTTATCCCTGTCTCTTAACTTTCCAATGGATAAAGAATCATATCAATTGGACTACTAGATTGAAAGATATGCTCCAAATACCGCATCATATACAATCCTTACGTACTGTTGCAATGCTTTGACTTTGGCAAATATTTTGACCATGATCCAATCAGAACTGGGTGAATTGATAAAAATAAACATTGTATCCCTTCTTCTTAGAATTCTATTGGTCTAAGAATCACCTCATTTGGAGTTGTTTAGAGAGAGATATGATCAAAATACTGAAACAGATATGAATAAAGTCATCTCCGTACTTGCACTGATTCTCATCAAATGAGCCTTTTTCATCAATTTTCTACAAAAGCCATAAAAGAAATTAGCAATGACTACTCTTAAAGTAATTTAAAACAAAACAACATAAAATTTAACTAAAATAACTTAAATTAGTCACTTAACAAGTAATCAAACTTAAACTAGAAAAACACCTAAAACGCTAAAATCCGAACCTAAAATCTCAAAGATCTAGCTACTTAAGCCCCCAAAATGTGTCAAAATAACTCTATATAATAGAGTTATCACACCCCCAAACTTAAGATTTTACTAGTCCTCAAGCAAAACGTAAAATAACATGCAATAACTTAAACATGAAAACATTTAACTAGAATTCAATTGCACCATTTCATTAATTACCTTTAATATCCTCAATAGTTAATCCATATTCATAACTTTAGGCAATACATAAATATTATTCAAGTTCATGTCTCAATTCAAATGCAAACTCATCATTAAGTGAAATTCCATGTGTGTGTGCAATTTCTTCACTTAGAATATTGTAAAATCTAGATAAGTTTATAGTCATGCGAAATTCAAATTAGTAATTAACTTCATAAGTTTGCTTTTCATCCCTCCCTCCACTAATGTAGGCTAACACTATGTTAA